TAAAAAATAAAAAAATAAAAAAAAAAAAAAATAAAAAAAAATATTTTGTAAATTATCTCAAATAAAATAAATAATAATTAAAATAATAAAGATAAAATAAAAAAAGATGAAGAAATTAAAATAATAATTATTAACATTTCATAAAGTATTTCAAATAAAATAAGTAACAATCAAAAGAATTAGGACTAAATTTGATAGATAAAAAATTTCAATAAAAAATAATAGGAGAAAAAAAATAATAATTATAAAAATAAAAACCAAAGTTAATATAAAAATAAAATTTTAAGAAATTAAATTAAAAAATAAATATTTAAAATAAAATATATATAGCAATTAAAAATTTGAGGATCAAATTTGATATAATCAGCAAATAATGATATTTATAAATTTTTCACAACTTCCGGAAAGTGTTTTCCTCCCAAATTTTTTAGTAAAACACTTTTCTAAAAATCAAGCCAAATTTTTCTTTAACTAGAAAAGTTTTTTATTTACCAACTTTCGTAACAGCAAATAAACACAAAAAAATTTGGAAAGTATTTCTCTGGAAATCACTTTTCAAAAAACAAACACGGATAAAAAAAATAATTTTCTAAAAAGCAAGTCAAATTTTTATTTAACTGAAAAATATTTTTGGTTGATCGAAAAATATTTTTTATTGATTAAAAAATATTTTTCATTGATTAATTTTTTTTAATGACAATAAACATAAAAAATTTAAAAATAATTTTTTAAAAAACAAATATAACCTAAAATTAATAACAAGCTAGGTTGGATACACCCCTAAACACACCCCCAGATTGAAACCATAGCTCCAGTGTTTTTATATTAATAAATAAAAAATCTAATGCTGCCCGCATTCGTGGAAGTGGCTTCGTTCAGGGGAATCTGACAGAAATCGGGAGCATGACGTATATATCCCTTATAGAGATATAAAGTGGCTGATCCTGATCGCCGAGCTGGCGTATATACGGGCCACTAGTCTCCAGGTGCCAATATTCTTGTACGATAATGGCTGTTGCATGAAAATTATTAATAAAATTTCTCCGAACCGATGACCCAATGTCCACTTAATTCAGGACCACGAGAATTTTTAACGCACCAAAGTATAACAATTTTTTTTTAATTTGTAAATTGTGATTCATATTTGATGAGATTCACTTTTTTATTTTTATTTTTGTATGAGCATCTAAAAACTCAGCCTAGCCAATTGTTGAGAGAAGGAGAGAAACAGGGTTAAACAGTAAATTCCCCATTCAATTTGTAAGGCTCTTTTTTTTAAAAAAATGGCTATGGCCTAAATAGCCATGTTATTAATAAAATTAATGATTATATAATAAATAAATAAATTTGGAATCAGATTATGATATTTTTAAGACATTTATACTCATCTAATAATAATTCCAAACACTGAAAAACATGACCATATCGTTAGTGCATTGCACATTTTAACCTAGAAGAATAAAAAAGAAGTAATCTTTAAAGAAGTCAATTTTATATTATCTTAAACTCTCTTTTAATTATGTTCCAGATTTCAAAATTAATTCTAACAGTTTCCTCTTATGGACATTACCTTTCAACACATCTAAAATATACTATTTCTCTCATCTGCAGAAATCCTGGGCAATTGAATATTTTTTATATGCATATGCAGCTGATCAAGCCAGCTTGAGGCACGAAGTACTTTTCACCCTACAAGTTCAAAATTTCAGGCGGTTTTTTCCGGCAACAAAAGTCATTTCCCTGCAAAAGCTAACTCAAATTTATACAATATATTATTTTAATTTCACTAATGTTATGACGTTCACACACCACAAATAAATCTCTTTCTTTTACAATATATTATTTTAATTTCTCAGGGTCCATGAAGCTATTTATCTAAAGGAAATATACTATTATGAGTTTCAACTAAGGCTAGCATTCTATTAAGATGATCTCTACAGGTTGGCATGTAAGTAAATCAGCAAGTTATCTGTTGCTCGTCCTCCAGGTTGTGGATGACAGGAGAAATTGCTATTATTTTTTTGTCATTTTATGCGCCAGATTAAGCAAGCCAGACCTTCATCAACAAGACATGCGTGCCTCACAGTCTTTCCTAGCTATAATAATGGTCCTGATGGATGCCGAAAGCGAACAATGCATGAATGTACTACTTGCTATATGGAATTGATGAATGCCAAAGATGCTCAAAGTGTATATCTGCTGTACTTATGTGGGGTTTTGTCAACTTATTAGTATGTGCTCATTGCTCTTGTTTTAATTGAATCCACTTGATCATAGATACTTTCCATTCTCAAGTAAATTGCTTTAGCCTTTGTTCTTCCAGTATCGATTGAGTTTTTATACATCGTATCGCAGTGCAAGAGTCCCTGGAAACAAATCAAACAAGAAAAAAGGAGGCACAGGGCACATTTCAAGTAATTAAAAAAAGTTTCAGGCTTCAGATGCATTAACAAAACAAAATCTAAATTGTTACTAAGCTGTTGTGTTACGAGAACATCTGGCTGCTATTCCATTTGCCAAGAAACAATGGAAGTCGGACGGGAGGAGCAAATTCATAAAACCTGGTATAGCGGCATAAAAATCTTGTTAAACTGAAGCAAACAGCGTTGAGCATGGGGTACCCCGAAGCAAGCAGTGCTCTCTAGAAAATCCATGTATAAAGGTGCACATGAATGAAAATGAACAGATGTTATTGTGATAGAAATTATTCAAGCATCATTGCAGGTTGCTGGAACTACTAAGGGCGTTGAAACACAATATTCTGCACAATGGCTCGATTAGGTACTAAACTTCAAATGTATAGTCTAAATCTTTCCTTCATATGGGATGAGTTTCAAGCTTTTGCAAGTACACTGTTATGACAATATGCTATCCCATTATTTCAGCAAGAATGCAAGAAACTTCCCCAAGGCTTTCGAGTTGAAAAGTAGCCTTCATCTACTGCTCATGGCTGCCTTGTCAATCATGTATTCCTTCATCAGAATTCATCATGTAAAATCTGGGTTATTAAAACAGAAAGCGAAAGTGCACACACCACCGTAGAAGACAATTCTGTTTAAAAAATCTTATTTGTGCCAATTGACACTAAAAAAAACCAAAAGCCAAGCACAGAAGAGATCAAACCTTTCTTCCTTGGCTGACAAGCGATCTTCGAATGAATAAGCCCCACCCTTTCTCTAACACAGAGAGGCAATGTGTTTGGTGATGCATAGCAATGGCCAGACAAGGTTTTGGTGATATTTGGTGGAAAGGGAAGATCCATATGAGAGGAAAACGGTATGCTGGTGTCTGGCCCTAACCATATTTCGAGACAAAAACACAAAATATATGTATATTATGATAACAAAGAAGCCACGTTGCCAAGAACTCAACCGCACATACAAGACCTGAGAAGAAATTAAACCAGACATATCTCGAGATCAACAAAATTTACTTATTAATAGTTAAGGGGGGAAAGACTTTGAATGCAAGGATCCTAGGAGTTGGAGATCGCAATTAAGTGATCTCTTCGGCCAATGATCTGCAAGCTGCTGTCAAAGCACTACAATTTTTCCTTCATTAATAGCTTGCTTGGCACCCTGTAGTTGCCTCTTATTGATATAGTGTTTTTGTATATCAACTCAGTAAAATGCCAGCACACCCAGGAATTCATGAAAAGTACAACTATGGGATCCAAAACGAAGCACCAATTTCAATAATCCAGTCATGGAGAAAGTTACGAACTCACTGAGTAGCAACTCTCAAAGCGAACAAACAACCCACATAACAACAACCAACACACAAACATTGTTGAGAAAGCAATAAAAATCAATGAAAAAATGACAACATTATTCAAAGCAGCAACCTCAACGATTCAGGAAACTTAAAAAAAAGCACCGATTTATAAATCGAAAGAGCGACATCTATCACAACTTCTTTAACCATTGGCTCGACCAGAAAGAATTCAGTCCACATCACTTAATACAAAAGCAATATTATTCAAAAGAAACATCAATAAATAACAAACACAAATCTTGAGACTTGGAATGATTTAAAATCTAGAAAAGAAAAGAAGAAATATCAGTCGATTGGAAATGGAAGAAAGTAAAATTACTCTACCTGTCTAGTTACCCTCCTCTGTCCAAAACCAATATAGAACTCATCATTCAACAGCTTCTCACTGTTTGTGCCCTGTGTGTATCGAATACAGTTGGAAGGTTATAGTAACTAAATAGCAAGGGACAACTAATAGCTCTAGTAAAGCAGTTATTGAGGTGTGTCAAACTAATAGAAGAAAAATGAGTATGAAATTGTTGTACATTTAGCAGATTTATCCTTACTGCAAAGGCAAGTAATCCTCCTAATGCCGTCTATAGAGAGAGTTTTCCGAGCAGAATCATCATTCCTTAACGAATGTAAAACCATTGCATCATTAAGAGACAAGAAGGGGTTTGCACATCCAATTTGTAAATAAATTTATGAGCATCAATACCTGGCAACCAAGACCCCCAGGCCCGAAGATACACTCACCATCAGTAACAACAATGACTTGGATAGTTCTCTCTGCCCAATTCTTCGATGCTTTAAGAATTTTGCCCCTGAAAAATTCAATTTTCGCTTAATACTCCATAATTGAACACCATAGATGTTTAGAAAAGAAAAGAAAAAACTATAGAAAATCCATGTATAAAGGTGCACATGAATGAAAATGAACAAATGTTATTGTGATAGCAATTATTCAAGCATCATTGCAGGTTGTTGGAACTACTAAGGGCGTTGAAACACAATATTCTGCACAATGGCTCGATTAGGTACTAAACTTCAAATGTATGGTCTAAATCTTTCCTTCTTAAGGGATGAGTTTCAAGCTTTTGCAAGTACACTGTTATGAAAATATACTATACCATTATTTCAGCAAGTATGCAAGAAACTTCCCCACGGCTTTCGAGTTGAAAAGTAGCCTTCATCTACTGCTCATGGCTGCCTTGTCAATCATGTATTCCTTCATCAGAATTCATCATGTAAAATCTGGGTTATTAAAACAGAAAGCGAAAGTGCACACACCACCGTAGAGGACAATTCTGTTTAAAAAATCTTATTTGTGCCAATTGACACTAAATAAAACTAAAAGCAAAGCACAGAAGAGATCAAAAACCTTTCTTCCTTGGCTGACAAGCGATCTTCGAATGAATAAGCCCCACCCTTTTTCTAACACAGAGAGGCAATGTGTGTGGCGATGCATAGCAATGGCCAGACAAGGTTTTGGTGATAGATCCATATGAGAGGAAAACTGTATGCTGGTGTCTGGCCCTAACCATATTTCGAGACAAAAACACAAAATATATGTATATTATGATAACAAAGAAGCCACGTTGCCAAGAACTCAACCGCACATACAAAAATTTTCAACGCAAAACACTTCTAAATCCACAGTAAAAGCACTCTTAATCTGCAGGATTTCTGATCTCTTCTAGTATTTTAATTTCTTGTAATCTATAATTTGGGCAAAACTACCCTGCTATTTCCAATCGAAAGTGATTTGGGTTTCTTTAGCCAACTTTTTATTACTAGCAAAATGGTCAAATAAAAGCCACATGACATGAAAAGATTGAAAAAAAGACGTCTAATTGTCTTCGAATATTACAAATAGAGTATATATAGATATGGTATGTTTAATTAAACAAGAATAAACCATACTGCAATCAAAATGTTGTCTAGAGTGTAGGCCTAGCTACAAGTCCGAACTCTAATAAAGAAGGAAACTCTAGCAAGCAGCTGGGTGCCCTGTGCTGGTGGGCTACAAAATCAGAGGTTTCTAACGTCTCTCTCTGGAATGCCAGCCTATGCAACTCCCATCACTTCAAGAGCCAGCCATGTCAATCTAGATGAAGTTACCATAAAGCTCCACTTCTTGTCTTTAAGAGCACCTTACAAATCAACTAAAGTACTTGTCGGTTCACAAGGCCACTTTAGGGAATTCACATAGATCAACGAACAAGTTAGGGAAAACTTCAATTATACCCCCCAATTATTGGAGTATTATCGATTGTCTCCCCAAACAACCTTTTCTATTGATTTTATACCCAAATAATTTGGATTTTTCGATAAAATTCTTCTAAAACCCGTTTATTTGTTTATTTGTTAGAAAGTAGGTTTTTTTAAAATAAATTCTAGAAAAATAAATTCTAAAAAAGTAAATTATTTTTTAATATTTAGCTATATAATGAAAAATAAGTTGGAAAACACTTTCTAGTATTTGGTTAT